GAAACTCCCCCCCCGCTTCTCCCTTGCCTTCCAGGCTCTGTATGAGTCTTTTCTCGAGCCACACTGGGTTGCCGCCACTCAATCTTCTTTGGTTGATCGCCAACGAAAGCAGATCTCCTTCCAAATTCACGTAAGACTTGATCGAGCTGTCTTTCATTTTTGCTGGTTTCGCTGCTTTGTATCATTGTTTTCTGACCTTCAATTTGTCAGGGCCTAATCCTCGCCATTCTCAATCTCCTCGACCTAGTTAAGATTAAGGAGCGTAATAAGGAGATGGACATCGTGGAGGCCAAGCTTAACTCTCTTATCGACAACGCCAAGAAAAAGTGCTCGGATGCCGTCGAGGAGAGAGATGTGGCCGTGGCCAAACTATCGAGTTTGGAAGGTGAGCTGGCCAAGTTGACTACTTCAGTTGAGGACCTTATGAAGCAGGCAGATCTGTCCGATGCAAAGTTGGCCGAAGCAGCTAAGGCGGTGAAAAAATGTTTTGCCGAAGGGAAGGCCGAGGGGAAGAGGGTAGCCGAAGCTGAGGCTACAGCTACTTTTGACGCCAAGCATGCTGAAATTATTGAGGAGTTCAAGGCTTCTCCGGAGCTCATCGACATCCGTACCAAGGATTTTCAATCCGCAGGTCAACAGATCGTTGATTTGATAAAAAAGGAACGTCCTGAGTGGGACTTGAGCTTCCTCTATACTTCTCCTCCTCTTGCTGGCGATGACAACCTTTCCCCGCCTGGTGATGGCGATGAATCGGCAGCTGGCGGCGAGGCCTAAAAAATTTTTACCTCTCTTTTTTTGTGTGTTTGTAACTTGACATTGATTTGGACATCTTTTCATTTTATCTGTACTTTTTATAAAGATAGCAGATTTTATTCATACCTTACTTTGCAATCGTTATCTTAGAAAATTCCTTAGAATTTTTGCTAAGTGTTTGTCTTTCCTCCTTGGAGGATCTGACACTGATTTCACCCCTTGGAGTCGTTGCCTTAGAAAATTCCTTAGAATTTTGCTAAGTGCTCGTCTTTCCTCCTTGGAGGATTTGACGCCTTGACGCCGATTTCACCCCTTCGGGTCGTCACCTTAGAAAATTCCTTAGAATTTTGCTAAGTGTTCGTCTTTCCTCCTTGGAGGATTTGACACCTTGACGCCAATTTCACCCCTTGGGGTCGTCGCCTTAGAAAATTCCTTAGAATTTTGCTAAGTGTTCGTCTTTCCTCCTTGGAGGATTTGACGACTTGATACCGATTTCACCCCTTGGGGTCGTCATGTCATTTTTTAGCGATCCGTGGACCTTTATCCCCCCATATGTGTTTAATATACCTTGGTTTTTTAAGCAAACATGTTATTAAGGGATGAATTCCTTTTCTTCTGCAAACATATCAATTTATTTAATTCGTAAAGAATGTACAATTAGGATGCGTAAGAATTACATACACTATTGGTAGTACAGCCTTAGCTGTTCTGCATTCCATGGGTGTTGAATTCTTTTGCCGCCGAGACTTTCCAAAATGTAGGTGCCAGGACGCAACACTTCCCTTATGCGGTAGGGCCCTTCCCAAGTTGGGCCCAGTGGACCAGTATTTTTAGGTTTTGTACTCTGCGTTACACTTTTTAATACTAGGTCTCCTGGGATGAACCTTCTTTGTCGAACTCTCTTGTTGTAATATCGTGCTGCTCTTTGCTGATATGCGGCGAGGCGTAGTTGGGAGTCGAGCCTCTTTTCTTCCAACAAGTCGAGTTCTCCGTTCATGCCTTCTGTGTTATCGTCGTCGTTGTGGACGACGGTTCTTAAGGTCGGCGTTTCGATTTCTACGAGGAGCACTGCCTCGACACCATACATCATGGAGAAAGGCGTTTCACCCGTAGTAGTTCGGCTCGTCGTTCTGTATGCCCATAAGACCTTGGGGAGTTCCTCGGCCCATTTCCCTTTTAGATCGTCGAGTCTCTTTTTGAGGGTATACTTTAATATTTTATTGACCGCCTCGACTTGTCCATTAGATTGTGGATGGATTGGCGCCGAAAAGTCTTTCTGAATGCCCAAACTGTCACAGAATCTGCGTGTTGAGGCATTGTCAAACTGTTTTCCGTTGTCAAATACTATTGAGTGGGGAACCCCGAACCTGCATACAATGTTGTCCCACATGAATTTGGTGCAGGCTGCTTCCATGGTCGTAGTTAAAGCCTTTGCCTCTGCCCATTTTGTGTAGTAGTCTACCGCGACGATGGTAAACTTAAAGCCTCCAGGTGCAAGGTGTAGTGGCCCGATCAGGTCAACCCCCCATTTGGTGAAGGGCCATGGACTGAGAATGGAGGTTAAATTTTCTAAGGGTGCTCGAGGAATTGTGGCATACCTCTGGCATTTATTGCAACGTCGGGCGTATTGGAAAGCGTCCTTTTTTAGCGTGGGCCAGTAATATCCTTGCCTCAAAACCTTAAGAGCTAAAGACTGCCCCCCAGTATGATTACCGCAGACTCCTTCATGGATTTCTCGGAGGACCTTCTGGGCTTCGGCATCATCCAGGCACCGCTGTAGAGGTGTTGAGTAGCCTCGTCGGTAAAGCAAGCCATCATACAATAAGTATCTAGCAGCTATATATCTGATTCGTCTGGCTTCGTCTTTATTGCTTGGCAGTTGTGCGTCCATTAGGTATTGGATGAGTGGCGTCATCCAATTTTCATCTGTTTAGACGATTAATGCCTTAGCTTTTTTTCTCAATGGTCGGCCGCTCCAATTCTTCGATGGGAATGACCCCTAGTGTGTCAGAATCTTTCGAAGATGCTAGCTTTGTTAGAGTGTCGGCGTTTGCGTTTTCGGCTCGTGGTATCTGAAGTATCTCGTAGTTTTTAAACTTGACGAGTTCTTGCTTTACATTTCTCAAGTACGCTCCCATTTTCTCGTCGCGTGCTTGGTATTCTTCTTTCACTTGCCCGACGACCAATTGAGAATCGCTGAAGACGCTGTGCCTCTCGATCTTTAGGTGGCTGGCCAATCACAACCCCGCAATTAGCGCCTCGTATTCTGCCTCATTGTTTGACGCCTTGAATTTAAATCGAACCGCCGAGGTAATCTTGTGGCCTTCTGGGCTGATTAACAAGACGCCAGCTTCTGACCCGTTATCGCTCGACGCTCCATCCACGTAGAGCTTCTATTATGTATTCTCAACTCCTTCAGGTGTGGCGGGAGCTGGTCTATGGGAGAACTCGGCTAGAAAATCGGCCAGCGCTTGGCCCTTGATTGCAGTTCTTGGCACATATTTAATGTCGAACTGGCTTAACTCTACCAACCATTTGAAAAGTCACCCGGAAGTTTTGGGCTTTTGTAGAGCCTGTCTCAACAGGTGGTTTGTAAGAACCCGTATTGTGTGGGATTGGAAATAGTGTCGAAGCTTCCTTGAAGCTACCATTAGGGCGAGGGCCAAGCGTTCCATTTCGCTATATCTCGACTCGGCATCGAGGAGCCTTTTGCTCACATAGTAGATTGGCAATTGCACCCTTTCTTCTTCTCTTATTAGTACGGAGCTTACGGCGTGTTGGGACACGAAGAGGTATAGGCTAAGCTCCTCGTCGGGGTTTGGTTTTGACAGAATTGAGGGCTTGCCCAAATGTTCCTTTAATTTCTGAAAGGCCTCTTCACATTGTGGTGTCCACTCAAAGCGCCTGCTTCCTTTCAAAGCGTCGAAGAAGGGGACGCACTTGTCTGTTGCTTTTGATATAAACCTGTTTAGGGCGGCAACACATCCTGTCAGCCTTTGCACTTCCTTTGGCTTAGTTGGGGACCGCATATCTTGTAGTGCTTTAATCTTCTCAGGGTTAGCTTCTATCCCCCGGTTGCTGACCATAAAACCGAGGAATTTTCCCGACCCAACTCCAAAGGCACATTTTTGGGGATTTAGTTTCATGTGGTATTTTCTCAACACACCAAACATTTCACCCAGATGGTCGATGTGCTGGCTGGCCCTGGCGCTTTTCACAAGCATATCATCGACGTAGACCTCCATTGTTTTGCTGAGCTATTGAGCGAACATCTTATTCACGAGCCTCTGGTAGGTAGCCCCTGCATTCTTCAGGCCAAAAGGCATCACCTTGTAGCAGTAGAGGCCCCTGTCGGTTATGAAGGATGTGTGCTCCTCGTCGGCTGAATGCATGGGGATCTGGTTGTATCCGGAATAGGCGTCCATAAAACTCAGCATCTTATGTCCTGCTGTGGCATCGACCATCTGGTCTATTTGAGGGAGTGGAAAGCCATCCTTTGGGCAGGCTTTGTTGAGATCGCTGAAGTCGACGCATGTTCTCCAGTTTCTGTTAGGCTTGATCACCAAAACGGGGTTTGAGATCCAACGTGGGTAACAGGCCTCCCTGATGAACCCATTGTTGATCAACTTGTCGACCTCCTCTTTCAGTGCTTCATACCTCTCGGGGTTCATTGGTCGACGCTTCTGGCGCTTGGGAGGATATGAGGGGTCGACGTTCAGGGAGTGACATATAACCTCAGCGTCGATCCCTTCCATGTCAGCATGATTCCAGGCGAAGACATCTAAGTTCTTTCTGAGGAAGTTTTCGATCTCGACCTTAAGTGATAGGGCTAGTTCCGAGCCTATTTTTAGTACTTTGGTTGGCTCGCCTTCATCAACTTGGATTTCCACCAATTGCTCAATGGGTTGGGACCATATGACCTCCTCTTGAACCCTGGGGTCTATGTCTTCGACGGTGTTTTGATAGACCATCCTAGTTTCCTGTTTCCCTGGCTGGTCGTATCCGCGCAGGGCATCAGAGTATGCAACCCTAGCCTCATATTGGTTGCTCTTCATTTTACCTACGCCGTTTGGGGTAGGGAACTTGACCTTCTGGTGGTAGACGGAGGTTATTGCCCTAAGCGCCTGAAGGGTTGGTCTCCTGATTACAGTGTTGTACTGGGAGCCTCCCTTTATTACCATAAAGTTGGTCATTGTCGTAGTCTGTCGAGGTTTCTCTCCTGTGGTTATGGGCAGCCGGATAGTCCCCTAAAGGATGACGGAGTCCCCGGTGAAACCGTATAATGGCCTGGAGGTCTTTTCCAACTGCTCCTTTTGGATCCCCATTTTTTCCAAGCAGTCGGAGTACAGGAGGTCCACCGAACTCCCATTGTCTACCAGGATTCGGCATACAGTATGGTTCCCAATCATGGCTTCCACCACCAATGCGTCGTTGTGGGGGAAGTGAACTCCGCTGGCGTTGTCCTCATTAAAGGCCACGTCGGTGTGGCTATATCTTGGGGTTTTTACCGCGGAGACGCTCCAGAACCTTTCCTGGTAAACCCCCCTGGCCTCGTGGGCGTAGTCCTTCTGAGACCTCCTTGAGTCTCCTCCTATATAGGGGCCGCCGAGGATAGTTTGTATGACGTTGACGGGTTCGCGGTCCTCTGGGCGCTGGTTCTCCTCTCGGCGTCGACCGTCATTCTGTCCACCGTGGCCGTCGTTTCGAGGTCTCCGCTCGGCTCTGAACTCCTGTAGCCTCCCCTCGCGGATTACTCTCTCGATTTCATCCTTTAGGTCAGCGAAATCGTTGGTGTGGTGGCCGACATCGCCGTGGAACCTACAGAATTTCTTTTGGTTCCTTCGGCTAGGATCCGATTTCATCGGTTCTGGTCGGCGCAGCAGGTTTTTGCAGCCAACCTGGTTTAAAACCTCCTCGACTCCTACCGTTAGCTCGTGGTAGGAATCGTACTTTTGAAATAGTCGAGGCTTACGGGTATCCTCTTGCCTTGGCTTCTGGAGCGCTCGTCGTCGTAGCTGGCTTCTTGTCTCCGCTTCCTCCACCTCGACGCTTCTTCCCATCCTGTTTTGCTGGCGTTGACCCATGTTCGGTCCCTTATTCTTGTTGGACCTATGCTCGGGGTCATTTGCGTCTGCCTCTTCGGTGTTGATGTACCCTTGCGCTCGCGCAAGAAATTCCTTGTAGCTGGACGAGGGTTTTCGGTTCAGCTCTCTCTTGAAGGGGGTAATTTTCTTCATGCTAGATAAGGCCCCCATCAAGGCCTTTCTGTCTGTTATATCCATCGTGGCGGTGACAGCTTCCTCATATCTCGTAAGCCATTCCCTTAATGACTCGTTCGGCTTTCGGTATATCGCTGTCAGATTCTGCTTTGGGGGGGACGTATTTTTTAACCCCTATGAATTGGAGGGAAAATGCTTCATTCAACTCTTCCCAGCTTGAGATAGAATTTGGCCTCAGCGTCTGAAACTATCTTCGGGCAGAATCCGTTAAATGGTTCCGAAAAGCTCGGCACATGATTTCCTCAGCATACCCGTGTAAGAGCATGTGCCCTGTATACATCTCCAAATGATCGTCGGGATCCCCTCGACCATCATATGGTGGGATCGACGGTGACCTATATTTGTCGGGGAGAGGGGGCGCCATTATTTCTTCGGTAAACGGATGGTCATGTGTGTGGCTAGGTGTGATGTCGACGTTTACCACCTCAGCCACTCGCCCTATGTTCTTCTTCAGGCCTGCCACGTCCCCTGTGAGTTTTTGCTCCAGGCTGGCCATACGTTCCATGATGGCGTGCGCTTCTTCTGTTGAGATGGCCGAGCCAGCTACTCTCGACGCCTCTGCCCTTTGAATGTTGGGCCCGCCCCTTGCCTGGCCGCCCGCCTGTACGGACCCTGAGTCTCCTGGTGGGTTTCCCCCTAGATTCTGGGGTAGTACTTCGGGATTTCCAGGGCCTCTCGGTATCCGATCCTCGGGAGCCCGGAGTCTGGCGGCCCTTAAACGGCTGCCGGAAGATTGGGAAGGTCGAGGCCTAGGAGGGCCCCGGTGATTCTCGCTGTCCCCGGTTCCCTCTTGGATATATGGGCGGTCACCGGGGTTCGGGTTTTCAGCCATGGCAGGTCCCAGCGGCCTCGGGGCGTCTTCTAACGGCGGCATAGAGTTCCTTCCATCCAAGCGCTCAACCACGGTCATTAGCCCACGCACCAACTCGATTAGAGTGGTTAGTTGGGCCTGCATCTGCACAAGATCCAGCCGTGGCACGTCTGGGAGTAGGACTTCATTTCTGACCGGGCGTGGATCTTCTTCCATCCCGTTATTCCCTGGATGGGTGGCGGTTTTCGTCTGTCTGGCTGCCTCGGTTGATGGCCTTAATTCTCTTTCTTAGAGGCGTGCTTGCTAACTATGTTGTTGGGGGTCAAACGCTTTCGGTCCCCAGTGGAGTCGCCAATTGTTGACGGTGAATTCTCGTCAATAAAAACAGGCTGGGTTACCTCTGGGTTTCCCGTTGGATTACCGGCCTTAGTATTGAATGTGTGTAAGAATTTGTTGGAGGGGTGTATTGTGCGTTAATCAAAGATGTACACAAATAAAGAAGACAAGAGATTTTATAGTGGTTCACTCTATAGAATCAGAGCTACATCCACTGTGGTCGTATATTTCTTTTGAGGGGATTACAATTTACATCAATTGCTCTCTCACTCTTCTTTTCTCTCTTGGATCTCAACCCCCCTCCTGCATGGGGTCTCGCCCCTTTTATACTGGGGCTTCCTTCACTGGGTTGATTTCCTTTGTAGGCAGGAGCACTCAAGTGCTCTTCCTTTTAAGGCCCAGACGTAGCCCACTAATTACTTAGAGTACTATTCACTCAGCCAATTAGTCTTCTATTACGGCTCTGTGCGTTCCTGTAACCCTTTTCTGTCCCCTGTGGGGCGGTTTAAGGGTTCGCAATTAATGCCTGCTTTGCAGACATTCCCCACTTCTGTACGTAACTTGCCATGTCAGGTTTTCCCCAAAGAGCATTCTCCTCGTCGCCAGGGTTGCTTAACCCGCTTGTCCTTCTTGGCGGTCGATTCTGCGGTCGAGGGATTTCTATGTCTAAAGGTCGACGGTACGACCTGTCGACGCCAGATGGAATCGACGCCTTAAGTTGGACTTCATACTTGGCTTTTTATAATGGACTGGGAGGGAGCCCCCAGACGTCGAGGGTTGTTGCTTTGCGGGGAGTGGTTAAGGCCACGTGTCATATCATCGTTCTTCCACGTGTCCGTCACATTTTCCCACACAACAAATACTATATAAAATTGCATAGTAATGCTTTTAATGATTGTACATTTATTAATTGTAAAATATTTTAATTATTTTACTATATTTTCATCGTGATTAGCTAAACTTTGCTACACGTCTAACTTTTCCATTGTGAAGCGCCCATGGATTAAGCCATTGTCCCTAGTAAAGCCTACTACATGAAGATTTTAACAAGGAAGATAAAATAGGAAATGTGACACTGTTAGGCCTTACCCACGTCTTTAGTATGTGCCTTTCTCTTGGAATTATCCCCCTTCGCGAACAAACTAAATGAGAGAAATCTTAGCATTTAAGACTTCGTTCGCTTTACGAATTAATAGATTTAGATTAATTATGAGATTGTTTGTGTCTCACGTATATGCCTTTAATATTTCATAAATATTTAATAATTCAGAAAAAAGAGCATGTTGATTATATCAAAATTCGGGGACAACAAAAATCTTAGTTTCTTATGAGTAAAGACACTATTGCTAACATACTAACTTCTATACGAAATGCTGACATGAATAAAAAAAGAACAGTTCGAATACCATATACTAACATCACTAAAAACATTCTTAAAATCCTTTTACGAGAAGGTTTTATTGAAAACATGAGGAAACATTAGGAAAGCAACAATTTTTTTTGGTTTTAACCCTACGACATAGAAGGAAAAGGAATAGGAAAGGACCAGATAAAATTGTTTTAAATTTAAAACGGATCAGTCGACCCAGTCTACGAATCTATTCTAACTATCAATGAATCCCAAGAATTTTAGGCGGGATGGGAATTGTAATTCTTTCTACTTCTCGGGGTATAATGACAGACAAAGAAGCTCGACTAAAAGGATCGGTGGAGAAATTTTGAGCTATATATGGTAATCTTTTCGGATATTCGAATTATATATGTATATGGAACTTTCGTATTTGTGAAAAAAGAGAAAGAGAAAGGGTGGGTTTCTAATATTACACCTCGCACATTAGTTGATACCTTCAAGTGAAAGAACAAAAAAAGATTCATTAAGGTTTAATTTTTGAATCACTTCCCAATGGTATTAGTGATTAGGTGATTTTCTCAATTTCAACATTCATTTCGTGGAGATACAATTCAAAATTCAAAATTTCAAGAAACTTATTTTCTTCAAATAAAGAGATTAAGAATTAAGTTAAGGAATGACAAATATGAAAATAAGGGACACCGTCCGTAAAATTTGTGAAAAATGTCGACTGATCTGTAGGCGAGGACGAATTATAGTAATTTGTTCCAACCTAAGATATAAACAAAGACAAGGATAAATAATTTTTAGAAAAAAAAAAAACAGGGGGGGGATGGGGGGTTGGAAACTCCATAAATCTAAAGGACTTTTTAATTCAAGCTAAGATGTGACATTTTCTAAGAGTTTTTAACTATAGCAAAAAAAGTTAGATGTAATATTTTCTGAGAGCTTTTAACTATAGAAACCTAAAACTGAAAACTCGAATTGGTGAAATGAACGAGGCCTAAAAAAGTGCATAAATCTTTATTCCACTCTATTTAATGACATTTCTCTAAATTTTCCTACAAAATTGTAACTTATACAATTTTGTTACTTATAGTTATTTAAGTATAAGATTATCTAAAACAAGTGAAGTCACACAATACCATTTCTCTTCTAGCTCAAAAGAGAAATACCACTTCACTTATTTTTCCCCCCTTCAAGCATACCACTTTTAGCATTTAAAGTGCCAAAACTAATTGAAAACCCTAGCCTCCTCCTTCTTCCTCCTCCTCCTCCTCCTCATCCTCCTCTTCCTTCTCCTTCTCCTTGTGCGTCGCCTCTAGCATTTTCTAAAACCCTAGCCTCCTCCTCATTCTTCTTCTTCCTCCTCCTCCTCCTTCTCCTTGTGCGTCGCCTTTGGCATTCTCTAAAACCCTAGCCTCATCCTCCTCCTCCTTCTCCTTGCGCGTCGCCTTTGGCATTCTCTAAAACCCTAGCCTCCTCCTCCTCCTCTTCCTTCTCCTTGCGCGTCGCCTCTGGCATTCTCCAAAACCCTAGCCTCCTCTTCCTTCTCCTTGCGCGTCGCCTCTGGCATGCTCTAAAACCCTAGCCTCATCCTCCTCCTCCTCCTTCTCCTTGTGCGTCACCTCTGGCATTCTCTAAAACCCTAGCCTCCTCCTTCTTCTTCTTCTTCCTCCTCCTCCTCCTCCTTCTCCTTGTGCGTCGCCTCTGGCATTCTCTAAAACGCTAGCCTCCTCCTCCTCCTCTTTGCGTGTCGCCTCTGGCATTCTCTAAAATCCTAGCCTCCTCATCCTTCTTCTCCTAGTGTGTCGCCTCTGGCATTCTCTAAAACCCTAGCCTCCTCCTTCTTCTTCTTCTTCTTCATCCTCCTCCTCCTTCTCCTTGTGCGTCGCCTCTGGCATTCTCTAAAACCCTAGCCTCCTCCTCATGTGCCGCCTCTGGCATTCTCTCCCTTCTTCCTTCCATTCACCACTAATTGATTCTCCCCTTCCATCCTTGCACACTTTGATGTTAGAGCCTCCTTTCTCTCTGCGCTTTGCTGACATATGAGACCTCCCTCCTAGTACAATGTCACTTTGGGTATTCCTCTAGAAAATAAGGAACAAAAGATAGAACAAAAGAAAGAACAAAAGATTTTACGTGGTTTTGTAATTTTTCTTACCTCCATGGATCAAGAATATGCTCACTTATTCATTCTCTGATGATTTACAATGAGTTTATACATGGGTATAAATATGGATTATTATTCAAAGATACAACAACTAATGTACAAATCATGAAAATCAATCAGAATATTTGACAAATCTCAGCATTCCTCCTCAAGTTGGTGCATACTAAATTAGAAAATAGAAGTGGTTTACATGTGATTTGTTATTTGTTGTTTGCTTTGTTGTTTGTTTTTTGTTTGTTTTTGCTAATTTACCAATTTTGTTTTTTCATTTTTTTTTCCTTTTTATTTTGTTTTTCTGATCACCGGTTCTCGATTTTTCTCATCACCAGTTC